TAATTTAAGGTTGAATATTTATATAAAAATAGAAGAGATGGGGTAAGGAATAGAGGGAATGTTTTTAAATCACTAAATTATCCACAAGAATTTGAAGTACTAATCAATGCCATTTCTGACTTCCAAGATGTCTATAATTGCAAATTTCTAATTTTTCCCTGAAGTTTGGGGTTCTTTCTTGAGTTTTCATATTGGGCTTAAGAGTTTTCCGTCTTAAGATCCTCGGATTTGAGCATTTTGTTTAAGATTTCAAGATGGATGACTGAGTCAACAATCCTGCCATATTCTGGTTGCTGTTCAGCTTCCTTGTGGATTACGTCACTGCTAAACCTGTGCCCTTACTTCAAAGAAGTTTGGGGTATGAAATTGCGTTGGGACTCCAGGGGCATGCTCATGCTCTTTCACTCTCTCTCTCTCTGTCTTTCTGTGTGTGGGGGAGTGTGTGTGTGTTTGGAAAAGCAAACTTAAAACGATTACTGTTTGCATACTACAGAAATCACTGAAAGTATACTGATGATCTTTGTAGTGTGTGCATGTAGTAAAACCTAAACAACCACTAGCTGGCTGCCAGCTAATGTGGCCATATTCAACTATATCTTTGATTAAAAAAATCCACCTATAAATTAACTTTTTTTTTTATATTGGATGCCATAGCAGCTTTATCAGTATAACTTTAACTTTCCGGGCACATTAAATAGCTTTTTAATTTTTTATTTAAGAACAAGTAAATCTCTTCAAAGCCTTGTATCAAAATAAATAGCTACAGAATATGTGATATGATTTAAGAAAATAAGTTAAATCAAGAACAACAAAATATTGGATTTTTTAAGTCAGTGGCTGAAAATGGGCCAGAAGTTTCCAATTTAAAAAATGAATATTTTGAGATATTTATTAATTCCAGAACATCCACATATACTGTCTTTTTTTTGTGCTCTGCCTTAAAATTTATAAAGTAGAATAAAAATCTTTTATAATTTAAGGAAGGAGATTACTATAAATTAAGGGAAAGGAAGAAAAGTTTTGTTTAAAATGTCATTTATTAAGTAGGAATGCTAACATGTATGGAATTTAGGAGTATTTATATATATACATATCAAAAAACAGAGGGCCATTTCCAGCATAATTTAAATCAACTGCAGTATTTATGAAACAAGAAATTATATTTTCTCTATTTAGTTAATAATTTACTTATATCAAAAAGAATTTGAGATAACTTGAATATTAGTTTAATACATTATACATTAACAGATTATTACATTAATATATATTTACAAACATGTAGAAACTGTCATTGTAAATGTATTTGTGGACAAAATTGGGTTGTCCCATTACCATCTTAATCAAATTTTTTACAATTTGAAAATATCTTGGTATTTGATTTGATTTCTAAGATATAATTACCCTAATTTTTTAAGCATACTTGAATTACAAAACCATGTCAAACCACTAAGACGTCTTCTGAAATAAGCATTTTCACATATAAGAAAATGAATCTTAGAGATTCCAAGAGAAACTTACTTTCTAAACCTATAAACTGGCATTTTTCAAAATTTTTATTTTGGAAAGTTTGAAATTATTTCAGCAAAATATTAACAGATGGAGAAAAAAGGTAAGTGTTCTGTGGTCGAGTGGTTATTCTTTATTATAGGTTTTTGAGGGCCTTGCATATACAGATTTTTACTGTGAATCTGAGAGAGAGAGGAAATTGAACAAAATTCATTCACTTCATCACTTTCATTTATTTTCCTTTTATAGAATGTATATAGTATATCAGAGCTGAAACAAAGTTTAGGAATTATGTGCTCCTTTCCTCAACTAGTGAACAGCCCTTCTATTTTATTGATTTCTCTAAATTGCTTTTCATTCCAAGGGAGAAAGACTAAGTTTGGTTGAAATCAAAATATTATTACTGGATTATTTTTCTTAGATAGAGCAAAGGACCAGCAAAGAAAAATCACCTTGCTGGTGAAGAATCCTCTATACTGGATGACTTTATCAATAGGAGACTTTTCTCTCTAAGGTTTTTATTCTACATGGAGTGTTTTCTTTTTGGGAATAGCTTCTACAAATATAGAAAAGGAACGGAAGACTTCATATGAACCAAATAATTTTTGGGTAGGGAGACCTGTTTGGTTACTGTTTGCCCCAAGGGTTTTATTCTCCCAGGAGGATTTGAAGTTATAAGGTAAAAGGACATTTACTCAAGTTTGCTGACTAAAGTAGTCCTTTGAGATTTCATTGGTTAAGACTCCAATGAAGAATTTTCCCATTTGGGAACTGTCTGTAGATGATGATTGGGTCTGGAGATGAGAGATTTGTTTGAGAATGTAATTTAACTGATGACATATTTAAATGGTTAGAAAGCTCTGTTTGCATCTTGTTTTGCTTATCCAGCAAATACAGATTAATATTCTCCTTAGATCTGCCAGTGGTCTGTTAAATAAAAGTTATATTGTATAAATCTACCTAATTTTTAAACCATTTCTATAGAGAAAGACACTTTTGCAAGCACTGTTAAACCAATATGCCAGAGACCAAATCTGACTCACTACCTGTTTTGTAAACAAAGTTTTATTGGAATAAAGCCACACTTATTATGTGTGCATTGTCTGCAGTTGCTTTCATGCTAAGGTGGCAGAGTTGTGGCAGAGTAATAGTTTTCATATGGTTCACAAAGTCTGCAATATTTGTTATTAGGCCTTTTACAGAAAAAGTTTGCCAGCTACTGCCAGTGTTATTCACATTACTACCTAGTAATCAGAAGGAATTTTAATGTAGCTTTCCTAGGATGTTGCCATCCAGAAAATAGTTTAAATATTGGAAAATTTATATACCTGTTTCCATGTATATATTTATCCCTACATATTTATATCTATATGTGTGTGTGTTTAAACTTGTCCATTGGTGCTATTTATATTATATCAACATGAAACTTTTTGAGAAACTTTCCAAACACACCTTTTAGCTAATATTCTTTTATGACCCATAACTTTGTAATGTTGGGCTCATTTTTTTTTAATTGGCTTGCCTTTGGAGAAAACATGTTTACCTGAAAGTATCTTTTGAAGTATAAAGAATTCCAAAGTCGTATTTTAATAGACTAATAGATAATTTGTATTTGACTATATTTCACATTTACATCATGGAGGCACTCACCTGGTTTTATATGTCATTCAAATTATATTAACCTAGCATTAATATTCCTCACTTTCAAATTTGACTCAGAGTCAATTACTCAAATCATTATTAACATGTGACTATTACAAGAAAGAAATTGTCTCACTTTATCGAATAGTTGATTTAAATTTGCTGGTATTTAGAGGTAATATAGTATAAGTTCTTTTGTATATTTATCTAAGGTTTTCTTTTTGAAACATTTTCTTCCCTTTTCAAATTATTTTAATTAACCAATTTTCCTTTAAAATTTGTTGCTAACAAGAACTATATAATATGCAATGAGATTTTTGCAAGGCAGAGAGTAATACTAAAAAATTAAAACATCAAAAATTTAAAAATATTGGTTCAAGAGGGGATACCATAACTTCTAGTTATACTGGTGCCTTTTTAATCCCCTTTTCCTTTACTCGATTTAAAAAATCAGGTAAGTATTAACATACCTGTTTTTTAATAGGCACACTTACATCTAGTTGTCTTTACTGCAGTTTTAAAGTCATGATCTTAAGCAAGGGGTGTGTGTGTATGTTGACATTCCTACCTAAACACACTGTGTGAATTTACTGACATTTTATTATGGATATCCAGTTGAGTTCGCTAAGCTCATTTTTCCCAGTATGTAGATTTGTACTATATGATCGAGATTTTTAAATTATATATATTTATGAGAAATTGAATATTCCTATAAATCTTTCTTTTAAAAATCATAAATGTACTTTTTTTTTGAGATGAGATCTCACTGTGTTGGCCAATCTGGAGGGCAGTAGTGTGATCATAGCTCACTGCAGCCTCCCAACTCCTGGTCTCAAATAATCCTCCAGCCTCAGCCTCCCAGGATACTGGGACTATAGGCATGTGTCACCACACCTAGCTAATTTTTTGTTGTTGTTGTGGAGACAGGGTCATGCTATGTTGCCCAGGATGGTCTTGAACTCCTGGTCTCAAGCAATCCTCCTGCTTCAGCCCCTCAAAGTGTTGGGATTATAGGCATAAGCCACTGTGCCTGCCCCGTAAATATACATTCAAAATGCTTTTTCATGTTTTCTAGAATTTGCTAACTGAATTTAGTTCTCGTTCTAACCCAAATTTTTGAAGACTTTCCGAATATTTACAACTGATGTATTTTGAGATAGCACCTGTTATAGAGGGCATTAATGTCTTTCTGTAAGAGGCTTGCCATCTCACTTTCTTAACTCTTTATATTCTAATTTTTTTATAAAATTGATTTCAGTCATACTTTGTGCCTTTACTGACATGGTATGCTATCAGCAGTATTATTACAAGAACCTCGTTGTGGATCCTAGTTCTAGAAAATTCAAATTCAAAAGTTTCTGATATTTGGATTCACACATATGCTGGGGCAAACTGCTTCAATACATAGCCTAATGATAATAGTTTCTAAATGCAGTTCTAAAATTGTGTTTGAAAGCAACTTATAACTTTAATACCTATAAATAAATCATGATGAATTAAAAGTCAAAGTTCACACGATATTACTATTGTCAAATTTCTGTGCAGTCAAATATATTCCGGACATACACGTACCAGAAATTGTTTTCTATTTAATGAAGATTTGTTATCTTCTCTTTAAACTTATTTATATTTTATTCAGATTGAAATTATTTTACATATTTAATATCATGTTTTTACTTACCAAATTGTATGCTTTAAATAAATCTTCAAAATTATATGACATTTAATTTGTACATGCTATGTTGAGTGAAAGTAATATACCAGCCTAGCATTTCTTCTTTTATACATCCTGTAAGTCCGACTCAGAAATAAGAACTGAACATTAATTTTATGGGTTTTTTTCTACTCGATAGGTACTATGGATATAGAGGAGAGAAATCGCCAAATGAAAATTAACAAATACAAACAGGTAGCCGGATCAGATCCCAGACTGGAACAAGATTACCATTCGAAGGCAAGACATTTTTCTTTTTAAAAGTTGTAAAATAATCAATCATATGAAACAGATTCTTTCAAACTACTAAATGCAGATTAGTCAGACACAAACATATAATGCCATGGCCCCATGATATTATTAAGTGCTAAAATTTATGTGTTTGTGTACAGCTGTTAGCAATAGAATTTGCCTTACTTAAAAAAAATTATAAAATACAAAAGATTAAACATCTGAAGGACAAATCTTTTAGAATTTTTCATTTTGTAAAATCTATAGCCCCTCAAAAATATTTAAGAACTTAAATGATCTTATGGTTTTCTTTCATATAGATTTTTTCCCATTTTATAGTATTTTAATTGAATCTAGTTTATTACTGAATTATTGGATCAAAATACAAATGGTGCCTGGCTTATAATGGATCAACTTACAAGTTTCTGACTTTAGGATAGTGTGAAAGCAATACACATTCAGTAGAAGCCATATATCAAGTACTCATACAACCATTCTGTTTTTCACTTTCAGTATTCAATAAATGACATGAGCTATTCAATACTTTATTATAAAATAGGCTTTCCGGTTAGATGATTGTTGCCCAACTGTAGGCAAATGTCAAGTGTTCTAAACATGTTTGAGGTGGGCTAGGCTTAGCTGTGATGTTCGGAAGATGTATTGAATGCATTTTCAACTTACGATGGGTTCATTGGGACATAACCCCATCATGAAGCAAACAGCATCTGTACATATTCATGAAGTGCTGTTAGAGGTTAAAAAGTCTTTTAGTATGAATCTTTTTTTAACTACTTTTGGGAATAAGTTGAAGTATGAGGTCTACCAAGGGAGGAAATAAGGTATTAATTAATTGGTTGGTTGGTTGGTTTGTTTGTTTGTTTGTTTGTTTTGAGATGCAGTCTCACTCTGTTGCCCAGACTGGAGTACAGTGGTGTGATGGTGCAATCTCGGCTCACTGCAACCTCCACCTCCTGGGTTCAAGCGATTCTCCTGCCTCAGCGTCCCAAGTACCTGGGACTACAGGCATGCACCACAATGCCTAACTAATTTTTGTATTTTTAGTAGAGACGAGGTTTCACTGTGTTGGCCAGGCTGGTCTCGAACTTCTGACCTTGTGCCTGCCTCAGCCCAAAGTGCTGGGATTACAAGCGTGAGCCACTGCACCTGGCCTATTTCATTTTTCTTTTACTCCATTACCTTTTTATATTCAAGACATTTTTAGTTTTTTGATATTATTCATGGTGAAAGTCATGAAAATACTTTGTTCTGATATAGCTATTGAAGATTTAATAAAAGACTTAAAATAGTAAACTTTACTCATAACATGTAGCTGTTATATGCTCTATGACTTAGTAATTGAATCATTATAGTTGTAATATTTGTGGTCTCTGTGTAATAGAGAAAAGCAATTTGGATTTTTTAAAACTTAGGCTTGTTTTATTCTTACATAATTTTCAGTTTCTGTTACATTTCATCCCTTCATAACCTCAAGTACTAATTAAGTAAAGCATGAGTGGCTATGTTGGGTATACATATGTAACAGGTATGTACATATGTACCAGTTTCTAGCTTGTTCAATAAGACAACATAGAGAAGGCAGAGATTCTTAACATCAGCATGTACTTCTAAATTACCAGTCTCTTCCCCAGATTACATTATTACCAACGTGGTGCATACAAAATTATTTATCACAGAATTCTGATATACTGGAAATGTCACAGGACTAAAGCTAGACGAAAGTAAATTTAAGACAAATTAAAATAGCCTTGGCTTTACTCAATAGGTTCTAAATTTCCAGAATTTTTTCACTAAAATGAAAATATGAATAACTTCAAACAGGCACAGTGAATTGTATAGAAAATAGTTCTATAATGCTATAATATTTTAGATACATTCCTAACTATTTGAGTTGGATATCAGAAATGATATCTGTGTTTTTCGTTTGTTTGTTTTGTATTTTTGCCTAGAACTAAATAGACACACCTGACCTTTTGTGTTTTTTTAATGTTGTAGTCTCTCATCTGTTCACCTTATATAATCCAGAGGCCAAAGCATAAAGTCCTGATAAAATAAGATATTAAATTTTTTGTAAATATGTCTTCAGATAACACAAATTTGTTTGTTGGTTTATATTTTACTATACTTCAGGAAGGAATGTAGATGATTTATAAAAATACTTATAATAGTCTCAATAATATTGTCAATGAAGAAAAGAGCAAGAGAAAATAAAGTCAGCTTAAAACAAGGTAACTCCAGAAGTAAAGTCTGTGAAAAAAAAAAAAAAATGCATAGTGTAAGATCCTACATACCCGCTACATGTGGACTATATGTCTACCCTGAGCTTCCTAACAAGCAGCAAAGACAGAAAGGGAAATTTGATCAGTTGTATGATTTATATTGTTCATACAATAAAGACAAATGTCTTAGAAGCAATAGCCGTGATTCTTGTTATAGAAACCTGACAGAAATTTGTTAAAGAAGGATGGACCAAAGGAATACTATAGGTATAGCTGGGATTTCTTTTTTAATTTTGATTTTACTTCGATTCATGAATAAATGAATGCCTTAAGCTACAAAGTTTTATAACTTTGACAGCAATCATTTTAAGTTGGGAAAAAATAAATACTGGTAAAAATTAATTGTACTAAGCATTATAATTTCCTAGATATTCTCTAAGGCAGTAGATCAGCAGCAGCAGCATCACTTGGAGACTTTTAGAAATGCAATTGTCTGGGGCCCTTTCAGACCAATGGAATAAAAACTCTGGAGTTGGAGTCCCTGTGGTGTTTGATTGTTTGTTTGTTTGTTTGTTTGTTTGTTTGTTTGTTTTTGAGATGGAGTCTCGCTCTGTCACCCAGGCTGGAGTGCAGTGGCACCATCTCAGCTCAACCTCTCAACCTCTGCCTCCCGTGTTCAAGTGATTCTCTCAACCTCTGCCTCCTGGGTTCAAGTGATTCTCCTACCTCAGCCTCCCGAGTAGCTGGGACTACAGGCACGCGCCACCATGCCCGGCTAATTTTTTGTACTTTTTTAGTAGAGATGGGGTTTCACCATGTTAGCCAGGATTGTCTCAATCTCCTGACCTCATAATCTGCCCGCCTCGGCCTCCCCAAGTGCTGGGATTACAGGCATGAACCCCCATGCCCGGCCGGATCCCTGTGTTTTAACAAGTCTGTCAGATGATTCTGATGTAGACTAAAGTCTGAGAATTACTGCTCTAAGATGAAGAACTATTGTAAAATTATCCTTTAGATAACTGAGTTGACTTGCTCAATTAGGGTTTCAACTAGAAGCCAGAGGTGAATGATGTCTTCAAAAAAAATGGAGACATTTTGAGAATAAATGATCTGACATCTTTATAAGGCCTCTAATAATGTCTGACAAATCCTACTGAATGTAGGATACTTATCACTCTGTTTTCTATTGCCAGGATTATGCAGGCAGCTTACCTCAAAATAAAATCAAGTCTCTTAAGTACAACTTTTTAAGGGGATCCAAAATACAACACTATTTTGTACCACAACAAAGTACTTCTTGATGTGGAACTATCTTTGCTGGATCACCTATCTCCCCAGCATGTGGGGTTCATCTTCCTCTGATATAGGTCAAAGAGAAAGTTACAGAGGAATCTTTTTCAGACATATATAAGTTATATTAATTTTCAATTAATTCCTTAGATTAAAATTTTCAACATCATTTCTCTCTTTTATGATGAGGGCTATTTAGCTTATATTTACATTTTTTACTTTTTATTTTGATAACAAATGCAAATTATAGAGCCTCTGATTGAGCTATGTGTTTTAACATTAGATCTAGTTGCTGAAGAAAATCATTTAACAAATAAGGGAACTAAGATATAGCAAGGTTATGCAATCTATCCAGGTTCACATAGCCACCAAGTCATGGAAAGTATTACTTGTAGCTAATTTAGTTTTTCAAATTTGACGTAACTGTGATGAAATCCAAAGCCTCAGACATATAAAGCATATGCTCTCTCCTAAGCTGTATTCCTGAAATTCCAGTGACACCATCGTGAAGCCCTGTGTGGAATCTAATTGTTAGCCTAGGTTTAAAAAAAAAAAAAAAAAAACCGTACCGTTCACATTCTAAATGGCATTGCTCTCTGAATTTCTCAAGACTTCTGCATTGATAGTTTTAAATAATTCCTACTAAATTTAAAGAAATCTTCTTAGTAACTCACTTTGAAAGCATCTATAGAGCAATGCCTATTAAGCTACTGTCTTTCTAAGAATATTTTCAGTGTACTAGAAGACTTGAAAGAAGAGAGTCTATTTTTAATAAGAGCAGCAAAGGCATATACAGACATGATTTCTAGTTAATCAGTGGATGATTTCTCAAGAGTTTCCCTCAAAATAGAATTTATTATACTCAATGTACTCTTGCATGCCTCTTGTACTCTTTTTATCCCAGCTTGAATGTGTTTCATCTATTCTTGGCAACAATTTAAGGATCAACATATTCTTTCTATAAAATCAACTTTCCTCTTTATTTTCTCAGAAAAATGTGATTTATTAAGTTTAACAGTGTAAATTATGGTTCACCACAGGTCAGCTACCCTTCTGTGAGTTATATAATGATAAATTGGCATAATTATTAATACTTAAAAGTCCAATAATGTATTTATACTTTGAAATTAATATGGATGATTTGATAATGCTTATTTAAACATATGAGCTTTAGTTTTTAAATTCGCTATATTTAATATTTTTAAATGTTCCCAAAAGCAATATTGCTATGAAGATACTCTTTGAAATAGTGGCCCTATAGCATTTCAACAAATAAGGCTCATGCAACAAATAATGTTTACTGGCACAGTATTTATTGGAACTCTCTCTGGAAAAACAATGCTCTTTTTTAAGGAGTGTGTTGTGGCAATACTTCAACAAAATTATCACAAAAATGTCTTACTCCTATTATAGCAGTTATGTCATAATTTTCCATTCTCTTATTTGTCTCCCTGGAATTAAGAAGCAGTGTAATCCATGAGT